AGCAATTTGGGTTTCAACAAGTCAAATCATCCCATTTTACAATGAGACCTAGAGAAGGTGAGCAGTAGAATCTTGGGGAGGTCAGAGACTTGACCAAGGCCTGGGAGGGGCTTCCTATCAACCCCCCAACCCCATCCAGCAAAGGCCCCAGAGTTGCTGCTGGATGTCCTGAAGTAGGTAATATCAAGAGGTAACTTGTCCTTCTGGCCTGGTGCTGAGTCCCCAAGCCCCAGCATCTCCCATTGTAGGAATTGGGGTCCAGCCCCTTCTGCCAGTAAGACCCAAGAGGACAGGTTGATCACTGCCTGTAGCACAGCCCAGAGAGGCATCCAGTAAAGTTTATTGGACGAACTAGTGAATCCTCAGCAATCTCAGCCTTGCTGAAAGGGAAGCCCGGACCTAGTACACAGATGAGGCTGACTCTAAGAAGAGCAACATTTCTTGCTTGAGGTTTTAAGGGACCAAATGAGTGGAATATTTAGTGCATGGAAAAGGGAAGAGGATTGTGATTGCATTAATAAGTTCTAGTGAACAAAAAGGGAAGCAAGCCTCTTCCCTCACTACCCTCCCTTGAGCTGCTCAGGCCCCACCAAGAACCTGTAGGAGTGATGGAGTACCCCTCCATTTGGAAAAACCATTGGACTGGGACAGTGGCTATACCTGTAATCCTGGCACTTTGAGAGACCAAGGTAGGAAGATTGCTTGAGGCCAGAAGTTCAAGACTAGCCTGGGCAACATAGTGAGACCTGATCCAAAAAAGGGGGGAGGGGGGAAACTAAGGCAGGAGGATTACTTGAGCCCAATAGTTTGAGGGTGCAGCAAACTATGATGATGCCACTACAGTCTGGCCTGGGTAAAAGAGCGAGATCCTGTCTCAAAAAAATAAAATAGAGAAACAATAGATTGGGAGAAAAAGAAGTAACCAACAGAGAGTACAATAATTTTCCTTTATCCAAGGAGGCTACATTCCAAGACCCCCATTGGATGCCTGAAACCATGGATAGGACTGAACCTGATTGCCATCAGAATGCATCTCTTCATGCCTTCCCATCTTAACTAAGCACTCATCACCCACTGTGGCTGTAACTTTTGCAGTTTGATATGTGATAGGAAAACTAGCACAAATTTCTTTTTCCTTCTTCACAGTTTCATGGATAGATGATTTATTCACCATTTTTTTTTTTATAGAGACAAAGTCTCACTTTATTGCCCTCAGTAGAGTGCTGTGGCATCACACAGCTCACAGCAATCTCCAACTCCTGGTCTTAGGTGATTCTCTTCCCTCAGCCTCCCAAGTAGCTGGGACTACAGGCGCCTGCCATAACACCCAGATATTTTTTGTTGCAGTTTGGCCAGGGCCGGGTTTGAACCTGCCACCCTTGGCATATGAGGCCAGCGCCCTACTCACTGAGCCACAGGTGCCGCCTGATGATTTATTCATATCATGATCTTAGCAACCTCAGTGTGGATTTTTTCTTTCCTTATTAAGTTCAGAACTTTCACCTTTTCACGTACAGGAAGCCTTGATATCTTCTCTTTGGCATATCTAAATTCCTAGCACCTCTGTTCTTGCACTTTGAGACTATTATTAAGTAAAAGAAAGGTTACTTGAACACTAGCACTTTGCACTGCAATACTGTGACAGTGATCTGATCACTGAGACTATACAGCATATACAGCTGGGATATATACAGGGAGCATATACGGCATAGATAACCTGGCTAAAGGAAGGAGTCATGTCCCATATGGGGCAGCATGAATTTTATCATGCTACTCAGAACAGCATGAAATTTAAAACTGTAAATTGTTTATTTCCAGAATTTTTCATTTAATATTTTCAGACTATAGTTGACTGTGGGTAGCTGATACCACAGAACATGAAACTACTCTTCATAAGTAAAGAGTTCTTACAAATCAACAAGAAAGAAACTGCAAGGAAAAGAACAAGCATTAATGGAATCAGTTAAAGCCAAACTACTACCCCTAAGAGGTTCTATTTTGCCCTCACCCCAATCCCAGTCATAGGAACCAGTTACTGGTTTTACCACTACTCATTCCTCTCTCCCCAATGGTAAGTTTCTCCAAGTTGTAAATATTTGTATTTGCTGAGGTATCTCCCTTTGTTTTTGAACCCTTATTGAAAACTTAGAAAACATGTTCCCCATGACCTGATCCTTAGTCATTTAGGTTTAATTTTACATTTAACAAAAATTTTTTTGAGACAAAGTCTCACTTTGTTGCCCTTGGCAGAGTGCCATGGTGTCAAAGCTTACAGCAACTTCAAACTCTTGGGCTTAAGTGATCCTTCTGCCTCAGTCTCCCAAGTTGTTGGGACTACAGGCACCTGCCACAACACCTGGCTACTTTTAGGGACAGGGTTTCCCTTTTGCTCAGGCTGGTTTTGAATTCCTGAGCTTGAATGATCTGCCACCTCGGCCTCCCAGAGTGCTAGAATTACAGACATTTAATAAATGTTTAATAAATATGTGAATGGAGTGGGCACAGTGTCTCACTGTAATCTTAGCACTCTAGGAAGCCAAAGTGGTAGGATTGCTTGAAGCCAAGAGTTCAAGACTAGCCTGAGCAAGAGTGAGACTCCATCTCTACAAAAAATAGAAAAATTAGCCAGGTGTGATATTGCATGCACCTGTAGTCTGAGCTACTCCAGAGGCTGAGGTAGGAGGAATGCTTAAGCCTCAGAGCTCAAGGCTGTAGTGAGCTATGATAATGCCATTGCACTCTAGCCCAGGTGACAGAATGAGACTGTCTTAAATAAATAATAAATAAATAAATAAAATATGTAAACAATAATCTGATAAATACCACATATGGTGAACTTTTATAAACCTCTACCAAGGTTCTTTGCTCACACCCTGGTTTTCAAAGTGACCCTTGTTTTGAGTTTCTTATTAAAAATTAGCCAGCTGTGGTGGTATGCGTCTGTAGTTCCAGCTACTCAGGAGGCCAAGGCAGGAGGATTGCTTGAGCCCAGGATTTTAAGGTTGCAATGAGCCATGATTACACAAGTACACTCCAGCCTGGGCAATAGAGCAAGACCTTATCTCAGAAAAAAGAAAAAAGTAGAATAGGGTGAAGGATCAGGAATGCCAATGAGATGATATGTCCTGCAGAGATCTTCCTAAGAAGGGGACATTTGAGCAAAGATGGGAATGAAATTGGAGGGGTTTTTGCAGAGATCTAGGAAGAGCATTCCAAGCAGCGGAAACAGCCTGTGCAAAGGTCCTGAGGTAGGACCATGTCCTGAGTGTCAGAGGATAAAATCCCCACAAAAGTCCTTTTACATAGATTTGATTCTTTCTGTTTTACATTGATACTCAGAGAGGTTAAGTTCTCTTCTTAAGCCCACACAGCAGAACTTCTGGGGCAGGATCTGAGCCATGTTCTGAGGCTGCACTTACTTATCTGGCCCAAAAGACCTTGGCTAGCCAGTACACAGGAAGAGGGATGAGCATAGCAGAAATTAGGAAGTGAATCCCTGTCCCCAGCTCTAACACCAATTTGCAGCTCCAGATAGAAACAGAAAGTTACCTCTTCCTTACTCCCAGCAAGTAGGTAATGCCACTCGGATAAAGGGGTCCAACAGAGCCTGCCACATTGTTTCAGGTGCCATTGAGAGACAGAGGAGACCCCAAGGCAGCCTGAGGTAAGTGCTGAGGTTTACATATTCACTCAATAAACACTCATTGGATGCCTATTAGATCCTCTAATTCAGAGCTGGAGGACAAAACAGACACTATCTTTCTAGACAAAAAGGTAATGGAGGAGTTCAGGGAAGCCTGGGGAAGGGATCTGGAAGGAAGGTTGAGGACGGTGGAGAAGGGGAAGTTTCTAGAAGGAGGAGCCATTAGAGCTAGGGTTTTGAAGGATTTGTAAGAGTTGGCCAGAGAGAAACTGAATTAATTCACTTTTACTCACAAATTCATCACACACTCCCCACTTCCCCCATGTATCTGCCTGATGCTGGGTCGTACTAGAACCCTTAAATTCCTGCCTGCTAGTCAGGGGAAGACAAAGCCAGACACAGATACCACCATGGGATCAGGTGGGGAGAAAGGGATTTCAAGAACCAGACAGGAAACTAAGACTCTTCCTGTGGAATTCCTGGAGGATAGATCATTTGAGATGAACTTTAAGGGAATAACAGGAGTTTGCTAAGGAAGACAGCTTCATTTGAGACATGCTGGGCCTGAGGAGCCTGTGAAGTGCCAGGGCCCATGCTCAGGACATAGTACTTTTTTTTTTTTTTTTGCCACAGAGTCTCACTATGTTGCCCTGGGTAGAGTGCCATGGCATCACAGCTCACAGCAACCTCAAACTCTTGGGCTTAAGCCATTCTTTTGCCTCAGCCTCCCAAGTAGCTGTGACTACAGGCACCTGCCACAACGCCCGGCTATTTTTTTTTTTTTTTTGGTTGTAGTTGTCATTGTTTGGTAGGCCCGGGTTGGATTCAAACCCGCCAGCTCTAGTGTATGTGGCTGGCACCCTAGCTGCTGAACTACAGGTGCCAAGCCAGGACACAGTACTCAGAGCTCAGAGTTTCCTAGTGAAAAGGGAAGCAGGAAGGACTCTGGCAGCTCTCATCTGATAAAAGAGTTCTCTGGCTCCCTAGGGAAGGTTCCTGGGTCACCTCTGAGGCAGGAACGTGAAGACCAGTTTGGATGGGGGAAATTCTGAGTATGTTAAGTCTGAAGGTTCCCACCTTGGTACAGCTGGTTCTCAGTTTTTCCTGTAAAATGAGGTGATGGTAAAAATATTTAATCTCCAGCAGGGCCTGGCCAACTGTCAGAGCCAGTATGGGTAGGGATGATGAAGGGGCTGGAGAGAATAAGTGGGGGGTGAATTTCACTATTTTTGACAACCTGCCTAACTGGTAGTTCAAGGAAAGCCTTTGCCCATCGGAACATCCAATAAGCATTGTTCTCCCCACAGGAGCCGCTGAGGGGGCTCCTCAGACCTTCTCGGGACCAGGCCTGGCCAGGATGAAGTGTCCCCGGCACCTGCGACCTGACATGTGCCTTGTTTTGGCTGTGGGCACCTTCACTTTCCTCCTGCTGTCCAGTCTGCGTGAATCACCATCCATCTGTGAGGTTTCTGAGAAGCCGCCAGCCACCCCCAAAGCTCTGTCCTGGCCCACTCCACCCAATCGCCCTTATCTGGCTAAGTGCCAGGCCAACACCTCTGTGGCCTCCCACCCGGACTTCGACAAGGAGCCACAGCACATTCGTAATTTCCTGCTGTACAAACACTGCCGCAAATTCCCTCTGCTGCAGGACGTGTCCCTGGAAAAGTGCAAGGAGCCAGTCTTCCTGCTGTTAGCCATCAAGTCCTCTCCCAGCAACTATGAGCGCCGGGAACTGGTGCGGCGCACGTGGGGCCAGGAGCGCCAGGTGCACGGCGTGCGGCTGCGCCGCCTCTTCCTAGTAGGCACGGCCTCCAGTCCCCACCAGGCCCTCAAGGTGAACCGGCTGCTGGAGATGGAGGCACAGGTGCACGGTGACATCCTGCAGTGGGACTTCCATGATTCCTTCTTCAACCTCACACTCAAGCAGGTGGGCAGGACTGAGGTCACCTAATTAGGGCCATCTGTCCTTCCTGCCCAAATTACCACCACTTCCTCTGAGGGTCCCCTCGGCCACATCTTACCTCTCTACTGGCCTGCTTGGCCTTGTGGTGACCTCCAGGGGAGGCTGGGAGGAAGGGTTGAGGGGCATGAGGTTACCAGCACAGATCTTAATCTTGACACAGGTTTGAATCCAGGCTCAGCCTCTTTTGCTATTTGACCTTGGAGGAATTTATTCTCTGTGCCTCAGTTTCCTCACCTGGAAAATGAGATAGGAATTAGATTCATCCACCTCTGAGGGCTGCTATGAGGATTACAGGAGATAGCATTTATAAGGCACCTGGACCAGTACCTGGCACTCAGCTAACCTTGGCAATGACAGGAGAGACATTTCATTTATTCATTTTGGTTCTGTCTGTACATGTTTCACTTCTCTATCCCTAGTGCCTAGAATAGGCACACAGTAGGTGCTCTATGAAGACCTTTTTGATGGACAACTCACAAGAGGTAAGAAAATCCTGCCTATCGGCAGATGAGGAATTGGAGGCTCTGGGGACCCACCCTTGGGCCTCAGTAGAACAAACCGAGTAGAGACATGTCAGAGGGGCCTGCAGTGCCGGTTCCTGCTAGTGATAGGCAGAGATGAGCCTGGGTTCAAGGGCTCCTGTGGTGCTTCTCTGCGCATGACTTTGCTTAGTGTACTTTTCTCTGGAGAAGCTCCATTCCCTTATCTGTGAACAAGGACCACACCTGCCTCCTAAGGTTGCATTTAGGATTCAAGGTGAAACAAGTGCTAGGCAAGCATAGTGCCTGGCGTGCAGCAAATTTCCAGTCCATGTAGGTGATTATGGGCGAAGCTAAGGCTAAGACCAGGACCTCTCAACACACAGAGTTGTTAAAACACAAAAGTGAGTGGTTTACATCAATTTGACAAATATAAGTCCAGTGCTATGAAGCACCATCCCCACTCTGGCTGCTGGGGAGATGTGTAGGGGAGATATAGTCCCCACCCTGGGGGAGCCCAGAGTACAGTGAGGGGGGGGGTAGATCTTAAATCACAATCATACAAATGATTATTTAACAACAGGGCATGGCCAGGTAGAGTTGGGAAACATGACAATAACGTAAATATGACAATTTTCAAGCATTGGTGCTTTACAGGACATTACCTCCATGAATCCCTAGCACTCTTGAAGGTAGGATTTCTGATGAGGCCTGTTTGGAAAGTTGGAAACTGAGGCACAGAGAGGGTTTCCCAAGTTACCCCCAGGCCTGGCTTCAAACCCAGGCCTGACTGGGGACACATCTTTTCCTGGGCTCACTGGGCTGGGGTGGCCAACAGGGGCCCAAGGCAGATTTCTCCAGCCCTCAAGCCAGCGTGCCCTACTCACCCCACCACAGGTGCTGTTTCTACAGTGGCAGGAGACAAGGTGCACCAATGCCAGCTTCGTACTCAACGGGGACGATGATGTCTTTGCGAACACAGACAACATGGTCTCTTACCTGCAGGGCCATAACCCAGGTCACCACCTCTTTGTGGGCCACCTGATCCAAAATGTGGGCCCCATCCGGGCTCAATGGAGCAAGTACTATGTATCAAAGTTGGTGACTAAAGAGGAGAAATACCCACCCTACTGTGGGGGTGGGGGCTTCCTACTGTCCCAATTCACAGCTGCTGCCCTGCGCCGGGCTGCCCGTGTCCTGGACCTCTTTCCCATTGATGATGTCTTCCTGGGTATGTGTCTAAACCTTGAGGGACTAAAGCCTGCCTCACACAGTGGTATCCGCACAGCCGGCATACAGGCCCCCTCTCAACGCCTGTCCTCCTTTGACCCCTGCTTCTATCGGGAGCTGCTCCTGGTGCACCGCTTCCTACCATATGAGATGCTGCTCATGTGGGATGCGCTGAAGCAACCTGACCTCAACTGTACCAAACAGAAACATGTCTACTGAGGCGGTGTCAGTGTCCCCAACCTCGGGACTGCTGTCTCCCCTCCCCTAGAGAGAAGCATCACCTTCCTTCTAGGAAGCTGAGACATTTGCCATCCTAAGTGGGCCAGGCATAGGGGAGTGCCAGGGAAGATTTGATGAGTGACTGTTCATTGAATGGTTAGCCAGTTCCTTCATATCCCTCAAAACCCACCTGGTCCATGCTCCAGTATCCTCCTTGGATGGCTGGAGGAACTCTGAAAATGTCATTTCTTTTCCATGACAGCTAATAGCAGAAGCACCTCCATAAGGGTTCCAGCTGTGGATGCCTTCAGCCATTCTATTTGGGTCAAGGTCTCACTTCCCAGCACTGATCTTAGTCATAGATTGGACCCCAAGCAGTGATTAGCTTCTGTTGGTGTTGAGCCTGCAGTGGCTTAATGGTGGATAAGTTCTGGCCATGCTTGGAGGCTAACCAGAAACTCCTGTGCCCACATATAGCTGAAGTGAGAAATATTTTTCATCCTAGGAAAAAGGGGTCCTACTCTCAGTTCCTTTGTGGGTTTGGAACCCTCAACAGAGGGGAGAGGCCATGGAATAGAATCACCTTCTCCTTGTGATTTCAAAAGCTTAGGTGACTGGAGTGTTAGGCAGAGGAGGGAAGCAGCTGACCACTCAAGACTGTGGGAATTGAAGCATTTCAGAAGTCTCCAGCAGGACTCAGCCCCCACATCTGTGCTACCCCAGAATTCCAGGAGCAGCAGTGGGCTCAGGTTTTCAATGGACCCAAGGCCAGTATGCACACAACCTTGTACCCAGAGAGAGACTCAGGTCCTCAGGTGGCCCAGTGCATTTCACAGATTGGAGAGATGAAAGTGAGCCAGTGACCCCGTGACCCCCTGTGATGTCTGGGACTCAGGCTTTGTAGGCATTGCGATTAGGGATAGGGTGTCAAGGGAGAGGGCCCTCAGGGAATAAAAAGTTATGTGGGCTCAGCACTTGTGGCTCAATTGGCTAAGGCTCCAGCCACATACACCTATGGTGGCGGGTTCTAATCCAGCCCAGGCCTGCCAAACAACAATGACGGCTGTAACCAAAAAATAGCCAGGTGTTGTGGCGGGCGCCTGTGGTCCCAGCTTCTTGGGAGGCAGAGGCAGGAGACTCACTTGAGCCCAAGAGTTGGAGGTTGCTGTGAGCTGTGATGCTACGGCACTCTACCCAGGGGGATAGCTTAAGGCTCTGTCTCAAAAAAAAAAAAAAAGTTATGTGAAGACCTGGAGATATCTTTTTTTAAGAAAGCAAATTATGGGCAGTGTCCCCATATACCAAGGGTGGCAGGTTTGAACCTGGCCCTGGCCGAACTGCAACAAAAACATCACTGGCGTTGTGGCGGGCGCCTATAGTCCCAGCTACTCGAGAGGCTGAGGCAAGAGAATCACCTAAGCCCAAGAACTGGAGGTTGCTTTGAGCTGTGACGCCACAGCACTCTACCAAGGGGGACAAAATGAGACTCTGCCTCTAAAAAGTAAAAATAATAATACAAAAGCAAATTACAAGTTTGAACAGAACAGATAGTAGTCTACATTGATTCCCAAAAGTCTTCCAGTAGAAAGTATACAGGGTGGACATAAAGTTCATGTGCAATTTAAAGTTGCAACTATTTTAAATTGCACAAAAATTACATAGTTGCAACTATTTTAAATTGCTTTATGTCCACCCTGTATACAAGTCAAAATAGGGCATGGATGAGGCAGACGGCTGCAGGGATTTCTATCAGGCAGCTATGACCTCATCTCACACACCTTCCATGACTCCCTATTTCCCTCAGCTATCATTTCCCAAAATGTATTCTTGCTACTGGCTTGTCAGCCGGCTTAGGAGTGAGAGGCATAGGATGAGACTGCTCTTAGCTGGGTGGGATGTGGGGCTCACCTCAGTTACCTGCTTCCAGGAAGGCCCCTTCTGAATCCCATCCCAGCTACCACGCAGCCTCCCCTGTTCTCATGAGGCTTGCCATCTCCCACTGGGTCTATGGCTCTGCCACTCTCCTGCTTCCTTTTCCTCTCATCCACAAGTATTTATTGTGCACCTATTATGTTCTACACACCTTGCCCTATACTTCTCCCTCCCTTGGAAAGAGGCAGCAGTTGATCCACATTATAGTGAGAAACAAATTTATAAATGATCAGATAGGAAGTAAGAACTTTGAAGAGAATTAAAATAAGGCAATAGGACATGGTGATGGGGACAAGCATTCGCTGGGAGGTTAGGGAGCCAGGACTGTAGAGGTGATGTTTGAGCTGAAGCCAGAAAAAGGAGGAGATGACCTTAGGGAGAACTGAGAGGTGTCGAGCACAGCATGTGCAACGGCCCTGAGGTTGGATAAGCAGGGAGTCTTTGAGACTGGAGTGACATAGGGAAAAGATGAGAGGAAACAGGATGGAGGGTTACACATGGGGCCTGGCCATGTAGAGTCTTATGGGCTAAGTGAGGAAAGGGTGTTACTTTGAGGGTCATGGTACCATTGGAGCAAAGAGATGACATGACTGATGTTTAAGTTTTAAGAAACTTAAAAGTGGCTACTGTGGGGATGGGCCATTGGGGAGGCTGAGGCAGCATCCAGGCAAGAGAAATTAGGCCCAGATGAGGCAAGGGTTTCTTTTTTTCTTTCTTTTTTTTTGAGACACAGCCTCAAGCTGTTACCCTGGGTAGAGTGCTATGGCATCACAGCTCACAGCAACCTCTAACTCTTGGGGTTAAGTGATTCTCTTGCCTCAGCCTCCCAAGTAGCTGGGAATACAGGCTATTTTGTTGTTGTTGCAGTTGCCATTGTTTAGCTGGCCCGGGCCAGATTCCAACCTGCCAGACTCAGTGCTCGTGGCTAGTGCCACAACTACTGCACTAAGGCATATCTGCTCTCAGCCTGTCCCTATTCACACACCCTCTGTGGCTCCCTACTGCCCTCAGGGGAGAGTCCCAGCTCCCCTGCCCCACTGGACTGAGTAGTATCCCACCAGAATTCATATCTACCTGGAACCTCAATTGGAAATAGTCTTTACAGAAGAAATTAAGGTAAAGACCAAAATGAGTCCATCTGGATTGGGGTGAACCCTAAATCCAAAGATCAATGTCCTGGCTGGGTATGGTGTCTCATGACTCTAAGCACTGTGGGAGGCTGAAGCGGGTGGAACGCTTGAGCTCAGGAGTTTGAGACCAGCATGAGTAAGAGCAAGACCCCATCTCTATTAAATAAAAGAAAGTAGCCAGGCATGTTTGTGGGCACCTGTAGTCCCAGCTGCTGAAGAGGCTCAGGTAAGAAGATTGCTTGAGCCCGAGTTGAGGTTGCTGTGAACTAAGATGACACCATGGCACTCTACCCAGGGCAGCAGAGTGAGACTCTTATCTCAAAACAAAGATTAATGTCCTTGGCTCGGTGCCTGTGGCTCAAGTGGCTAAGGCGCCAGCCACATACACCTAAGGTGGCGGGTTCTAATCCAGCCCAGGCCTGCCAAACAACAATGACAGCTGCAACCAAAAAATAGCTGGGCATTGTGGCTGGTGCCTGTGGTCCCAGCTGCTTGGGAGGCTGAGGCAGGAGACTCGCTTGAGCCCAGGAGTTGGAGGGGGCTGTGAGCTGTGATGCCATAGCACTCAACCCAGGGGGACTGCTTGAGGCTCTGCATCAAAAAAAAAAAAAAAAAAAAGATTAATGTCCTTATAAGAGACAGAAGAGGAAACAAATGCAGAAAGGGCTGTATGATACTGGAGACAGATTGGAGTGACACAGCCACAAGCCTAGTAATCCTAAAGATTGCAGGGAGCTAGGAGAAGAGCTTGGAACAGATTCTCCCTCAAGGACTCCAGAAGGAACCAACCCTAATGACACCTTGCTTTGGGACCTCTGGCCTCTAGAACTGCGAGAGAAATCAATTCTTTTTTTTTTTTTTTTTTGGCAGTTTTTGGCCAGGGCTGGGCTTGAACACGCCACCTCTGGCATATGGGGCCAGTGCCTTACTCCTCTGAGCCACAGGCGCTGCCCCAAGAGAATCAATTCTTGTTTTAAGTCATCCAATTTGTGGTCATTGGTTACAGTAGCCCTACAAACAAAGTGAATAGGTCACATAGTCAAATGCTTGCTTGATTAGTCTTACAAAGGAGTCATATCATTCAATCCCCATCTCAAGGTGAAGGGAGAATGCAATGAGGACTATTTCGGGTTAGATCAATAAATGCCTGCTGTGATTATCATTGAGACATTTGTGTGGCATGTCCAACATTCTAGGGCCTGGATAGAGACCTGAGTTCAAGTCCTGCAATTAGCCATTCCCTCCCTGTCTGACTTTGGCAAGCCACCCTTTCCCTGGGCCTCAGTTTCCCCACTTTGTATTACAATGACTCTCAAGTCGTCATCAAGCTCCTAGAAGTGTTGGCATGTTTGTGGCTGCTGGGGAACGGGCCCACAAAGGGGCTAACCAAGGCTTGTCCCTTTTTCTAGAGAAAATGCAAGAAGCTGCTTCAGATTATTTATTTACTATTAGGGTGACGCAAAAGGGGTGTTGCAAATGCAGGGAGCATCTGGAACTCCTCTGGAGTGAGGATGTTTTTTTCCTTATACTCTGTAGAAGTGAGAAGCCTCCAAGCCCTGGTGGGGGTGTGTTTTATTCCCCAGTTGACTCCACAGAAAGCAGGTGGTACTGGCTTGGGGTAGGTGATGAGCACACCATCTCACTCAGACCAGAACCTTCTGGGCCTTAGGGTCCCCTGAAACTGCACTGAAAGAGGGGATTAGTAGGGACAGAGAGTCAGCAGGTCTTGTCGGGTGCAGCCACTGAGACAGCAGCGGTGTGCAGGGTTGGTGGTAGCTGCCCGGTGATGGCGATGATGGTGAGAGGCCTGGGGGAGGAGTTGCAGGCCAGGTACCAATGCAGGGTCATGCTCAGCCACCAACCCATGGAGCAGATGTGGTCTCTCCAGCCACTGTAGCAGTTCACCTGGAGACAGCAGAATTCAGTGGGAACAGGGACCCCAGAGGACACCCCCAACACACTATGTGTGCATACACCTGCACATTGACATCCCACCCAGTGCCCCACCAAACACTCATCATGGATGCAAATTTTAAAAAAAAAAATAGTGTGCACTTATTAAGCTCCTACTGTATGCTAGGCACCTATTTAATCCCCTCATCTATTCCCAGTTTATGTCCACACCCATGTCCCCAGCTGTGCACAGTGGGGACAGGAGGCTGAGGCAAGAGAATCACCTAAACTCAGGCCTTAAGGATTGCTGTGAGCTGGGCCGCCAGGGCACTCTACCGAGGGCGATAAAGTGAGACTCTGTCTCTAAAAAAAAAACAAAAAAGAAATCTTTTGTTTTTGTTGAGATGGGGTCTCACTATGTTGCTCAGACTGGTCTCAAACTCCTGACCTTAAGCGATCCTCCCACCTTGGCTTCCCAAAGTACTGACATTACAAGTGTGCACCAAGCCTAACCAGTAGCTAGCTACCTTACCCTTGTCCTGGCCATGATGCAGAGTGTAGAAGACAAGGTTGTGTGCACATGTGTTACACACATGGGTGTCTTCATGTCCCTGTGTGGCACTCCACTAGTGGACTGGGCTCCAGGAGAGAGGGGACTGCAGGAGTGTGTCCCTATGTGTATCTACTTCCTGCACACACATGAACATACGTGTCACATGCCACCTCTGCACCTTGAGGAGTCTGTGGGTCTGTTTCTGGTTAGATCTCAGCACCTCACTGGCCTTCAGATCCACTAGGGAAAGTGACCCTGTCAGCAGCTTCAGAAACCCTGACATTCCCTGGGCAGGGTGTGGAGCTTACTACAGGCGCTTACTACAACGCCCGGATATTTTTTTGTTGCATTTGGCCAGGGCCAGGTTTGAACCCACCACTCTTGGCATATGGGGCTGGCACCCTACTCACTGAGCCTCAGGTGCCACCTGATTTTTGTTTTTTTTTAATTAGTGGGTGTATAGTCCATACATGTAGCCCTGGCAGCTCAGAAAGGATGAGGCAGAAAGATCCCTTCAGTACAGGAGTTCACGGCTGCACTAAGCTCTGGTGACATGACCACACTGCAGCCTGGGCAACACAGTAAGTCCCCACTGAAAGAAAGGAGAGAGAGAGAGAAATGAAAATTTAAAAACCCATAGCGAAGGCCGGGTGCGGTGGCTCATGCCTGTAATCCTAGCACTCTGGGAGGCTGAGGCAGGTGGATTGCCTGAACTCAGGAGTTTGAGACCAGCCTGAGCCAGAGTGAGACCTCATCTCTAAAAAAATAGACAGGCATTGTGGTGGGCCCCTATAGTCCAAGCTACTTGGGAGGCTAAGGCAAGAGACTCACTTAAGCCCAAGAGTTTGAGGTTGCTATGAGCTATGATGCCATGACACTCTACTGAGGGTAAGAAAGTGAGACTCTCTCAAAAAAAAAAAAACAAAACCCACAGCCATATATTTTAATGCAATCCTTAAAAACCCAAAATTAAGGCAAAAATTCTTAAAGGCGGAAATAATTGATTTTTTTGTTTTTGAGACACAGTCTTACTCTCTTGCCCAGGCTAGTGTCCTGATGTCAGCCTAGTTCACAGCAACCTCAGACTCCTTGGTTCAAGTGATCCTCCTGCCTCAGCTTCCCCAGTAGCTGGGACTACAGGTGCCAGCAACAAGGCCGGACTAACTTTTCTATTTTAGTAGACATGAGGTCTAACTCTTGCTCAGGCTGATCTCCAACTCTAGACTTTAAGTGATCCTCCTGCCTTAGCCTCCAAGAATGCTGGAATTACAGACATGCTGCTACCTGCCAAAAGTCTGACTTTTTTTTTTTTTTTTGACACAGTCTTACTTTATCATCCTCGGTAGAGTGCAGTGGCGTCATAGCTCACAGCAACCTCTAACACTTGGGCTCAAGTGATTCTCTTGCCTCAGCCTCCCAAGTAGCTGGGAGTACAAGCACCTGCCACATCGCCCAGCTATTTTTAGAGACAGGGTCTTGCTCTGACTCAGGCTGGTCTAGAATACGTCAGCTCAGGAATCCACCTTCCTCAGCTTCCCAGATCAATAGGATTATAGGGGTGAGTCACCGGGCTTGGTCCAATACTAACATTTTAAATAAAGACAAGATCCCACTGTTCACTCGCAATGCTCTGCTTAGTTTGCCTCTCCCTATTTTTGGCAGGACAGGGGACTCACGCTCCAAGGACTTTCAAACATACACACGAGTGCATGCCCACACTGTTCACGCTGCTGACTGGTGAGACCAGGTGCATGGGTGCCAGCCAGCCCCCTGCCCTGAACACCCACCTGCACCCGTGTGCACCTGCCCCACCTAGGCTTCCTGGAGTGCAGTCCCCGCCTGCCCCTACTCACGGTCACCGCCAGCTGAGGATTTCCCCGCCTCGGGGGACCAGCGCGGGCCACCGCACAGGCGCACCAGAGCGCGCACGAAGTGGTGGCCACACAACTTCTCCCGCGTCTCCAGGGAAAGACTAGGGTGCAGCGCGAAAACTAGGGCAGGACCCAGCAGCACCAGCGCCCAGACGGACAGACGGGGGTCCATGATGGTAGGAAGCGCCTAGCCAGGGCGGGACCCCTCTTATAGGCGCCTAGGCCGCCCCAGCTGGGAGCCTTGGAATGGGGACAGAGCATTCCGTGTTGGGTGAGGGGAAGGGGGGCAGTCAAGGGTGGGGTCAGTGAAAGGGCTCCTCTCCCAGGGCCAGGGCCTTGGCTGAACTGGGCTGGTGAGGAGTCTTTATTTCGCTTTGTTCATTCATTTTTAACAGTGTTAAAGAGGTGAAATAGGAACAGAGTGTAGCTCACACCTGTAACCTAGCACTCTGGGAGGCCCAGGCAGATGGATGGCTTGAGCTCAGGAGTTAAGAGACCAGCCTGAGCAAGAGTGAGACCCCATTTCTACTAAAAATAGAAAAATTAGCCGGGCAGTGTGGCAGACACCTGTAGTCTCAGTTACTCAGGAAGCTGGGGCCTGAGGGTCACTTGAGCCCAGAAGTTTGAGGTTGCTGTGAGCGATAATGACTCCAGGGCACTCTACCCAGGGTGACAGAGTAAGACTCTGTCTTAGGAAAAAAAAAAAAGAGGAGAGGGAAAGGGAGAGAGGGGGGGAAAGGGAGAGGAAGGAAGGGAAGGGTAGGGGAGGAAAAGAAGGGTGGCAAAATAGGTAAACTGAAAAAATAATGATCTTGCATCTGTGGAGGGGAGTGGGCATCTTCAAGGCTGGTCCCTATTGCTGCACAAGTAAGGAAATGGCTGGGTGCAGTTGGTCACGCCTGTAATCCCAGCACTCTGGAAGGCTGAGATAGGTGAATTGCTTGAACTCAGGAGTTTGAGACCAGCCTGAGTAAAAGCGAGACCCCATTTCTACTAAAAATAGAAAAATTAGCCAGGTGTTATGGTGGGCTCTTGTAGTCTCAGCTACCTGGGAGGCTGAGGCCCAGGAGTTTGAGGTTGCTGTGAGCTATGTTGACGCCACAGCACTCTAGCCTGAGCAACAGAGTGAGACTCTGTCTCCAAAATAATAGATAAATAAAATAAGAAAACAGGCTCAGAGAGGGGACCCCAGATGCCCAAGGTCTCAGGGAGCTGAACAGAGCAAAGGCACCTGACACCTAGGGCTGGAGGCAACTCATGGCTCTGCCTCCTTAACACCAGGGTACCCCATGCTGGGCAGAGGCTGGAGGGCACTGAACAGAGCAGGATTTATTTGCTTAGCACTTGCCTAGTGCCAGCTTGGTTGTCCTAGGGGACCTTACGACTCCATTTTACCAAGGAGGGAAACTGAGGCTGTGAGAGGAGAGGCTACCTCACCCAAAGCAGGGAGAAACCTGGCATGGACCCCAGAGCAGCCCCTTCCCACTTTCCACCAAATCAGAGGCTTTTCTGGGGCTAAGGAAACAGGAACAGAGACCTCTGTCTCTATATCTGAATTTCTCTCAGACTTCATCTCTCTCAGCTTCCCTCTGTTCTCTCTCTCCATATCTTTCCAGCAGTTCTGAGGTACACATGGGTGTGGTGTGGGGGCTGCCCTGGCTCCCAGTAATGTTGGTCCCCTCCTGCAGCTTGGCCTTGTCCTCTAATCTCCCCAGAACAGCCTGTTCATTCCATCTACCAACATTCCATAATCAGCTCCCCCCGGCTGGAGCCAAGGCCAGCAGCTGGGTCTGGGAGGGAGGCAGTCTGTCCTCAGGGCCCCAGCCAAGGCTCCACACAGCTGTCCTTCCTCCCCAGCCTGCCCTAAGGCCCCCACAATGACCCCTAAGAGGTCTCTAACCCCTAGCCCTAACCATATCCCATCAGCTCACATACCCTGTGAGGCTCCCCATCACCCCAAGTTCAGCAACAAATCATCTTTCCACTGAGTTCCTTTATTTACCCAACAAACACTCCAGAGCCTCCTCTGTGCCCACCCTGTGCTGAGACCTCAGCCCAGTCCCCAAGGAGCCCCCACACCAAGGGAGACAGAGCTACAGACAGACACTTCCTCAGCCCCAGAGTCAGAGTTGGAGTGGAGGAAAGGACAGGGCTGTGATAGTGGTGGAGGTGTACCAGGGGAGGCCACAAGGATGTGATAGCTGGGGTTTTGAGAGATGAATAAGTTTTCCAGGAAGGCAAAAGTGGTAGACAACCTTTGTAGGCAGGTGAGAAGAACTGGGAGCTTAACCTCACAAGATGCCTTCATACCAGCCACAGGAAGTTGACTCTGCACAGCCAAGGAGCAAGCTCTACCCATTTTACAGGGAAAAGACCTGAAACCCCAGAAAGAAAAATGAGTGTGCCCCCCATCATAGCATGTAAGGGGCAAAATGGTGGACTCCAACACCTGGGCTCCCAACCTCCTTACTTTCAGCTTCTTTACCCTGAACATGCTATCTGCTCTACCAAGAATGTGTTTGTTTTTTTCTTTTTTTTTTGAGACAGAGTCTCATTATGTCGCCCTCCATAGAGTGTGGTGGCATCACAGCTCACAGCAGTTTCAAACTCTTGGGCTTAATCAATTCTCTTGCCTCAGCCTCCCAAATACCGTGTTTCCCCCAAAATAAGTCCTACCCAAAAAATAAGCCCTAGCAGGATTTGTGCATTTATTAAATATAAACCCTACCCCAATAATAAGACCTAGCGATGGGCGGATACAGATATACCACATAGCCACATCATGCATTTTGGCGCGGAGAATAAGACATCCCCTGAAAATAAGCCCTAGTGTGTCTTCTTGAGAAAAAATAAATATAAGACAGTGGGAAACACGGTAGCTGAGACTATAGGCACCTGCCACAACACCCGCTATTTTTAGAAATGAGGTCTTGTCTGTCTCTTCCTTCCTTCCTTCCTCCCTTCCTCCCTCCCTTCCTTCCCTTCCTTCCATCCTTCCTCCCTTCCTTCCTTCCTTCCCTCCCTCCCTTCTTTCTTTCTTCCTTTTCTTACACAGTCTCACTCACTGGTTCTGGGGATTGAGTACTATGGTGTCACAGCTCACAGCAATCTCTTGTCTCAGCCTCCCAAGCAGCTGCAACTACAGGTGCCTGCCACAATACCTGGCTAGTTTTTCCATTTTTAGAAGAAATGGGGTTGGGGGGATGTTTCACTTTGCTCCAGGTGGTCTTGAACTCCTGAGCTCAGGTGATCCACCATTTCAGCCTCCCAGAGTGCCAGCATTATAGGCATGAGCCACCAAGCCTGGCCAAGGAATGTCTTTGATTCCCTTGACTTCCAGAAAGCTCCCATCAGACTCTGTTCCATTCCTTTCTGACTCTCAGAGAGTCAGGACAAAAAGGACTCCATTGGGCTCAGCACCGGTAGCTCAGCGGCTAGGGCACCAGCCACATACACTGGAGTTGGCAGGTTTGAACCCAGCCTGGGCCTGCCAAACGACAATGACAACTACAACCAAAAAATGGATGGGCATTGTGGCGGGTGCCTGTAGCCCCAGCTACTTGGGAGGCTGAGGCAGGAGAATCACTTGGGCCCACGGGTTTGAGGTTGCTGTGAGCTGTGATGCCACAGCACTCTACTGAGGGCAACATAGTGAGACTCTACCACACACACACACACACAAAAAAAAAGGATCTTATTGTAAGGTCAGGTAAAGAACTGAAGCCCAAGGACATGTACGTACAGTTAGGGTGGACTGGGACTTCGGGCTCTTGTTCCCCTGCCCCCTTACAGGATCCCAAACAGACACACGGGCTCCCCTAAAAAGCAAAGTTCCAACTGCAGCAACTGCTCTTGTCTTTGGCTTCCTCCAGAGAAAAAGAGATAGGGAAGAAGCCTGAGATTATATATTTAAAGCTACATTAAAGTTCCTATTGGAAATAAGACAGGAAACACAAAGCCAAGTGCTATGGCTCAGGCCTGTAGTCCCAGCTACTCAGGAGTCTCAGGTGGAATGATCACTTGAGTCCACGTGTTTGAGACCAGCCTGAGCAACATAGTGAGACCCTGTCTCTACCAAAAATAGAAAAATTGGCTCAGTGCCTGTAGCACAGTAGTTACAGTGCTGGCCACGTGCACTGAGGGTGGCAGGTTTGAACCCAGCTCAAACCTGCTAAACAATGACAACTGCAACAAAAAATATCTGGGCGTTGTGCTTGGCACCTGTAGTCACAGCTACTTGGGACGCTGAGGCAAGAGAATTGCTTAAGCCCAAGAGTTTAAGGTTGCTGTGAACTGTGACACCATGGCACTCTACCAAGGGCAACATAGTGAGACTGTCTCAAAAAAAATAAAAAGAAAGAAAAGAAAACTTAGGCGGCGCCTATGGCTCAGTGGGTTGGACACTGGCCCTATATACTGGGGTGGTGGATTTGAACCCGGCCCCAGCCAAACTGCAACAAAAAAAATCTGGATGTTGTGGTAGGTGCCTATAGTCCCAGCTACTCTGGAGGCTGAGGCAAGAGAATCGCCTAAGCCCATGAGTTGGAGGTTGCTGTGAGCTGTGACACCATGGCTTTCTACTGAGGGAAATAAAGTAAGACTTTGTCTCTACAAAAAAAATAAAAATAAAAAAATTAGCCCAACTCAGTGGTGTGCATCTGTAGTCCCAGCTATTCTGGAGGCTGGGGTAGGAGGATCACTTAAGCCCAGGAGTTGGAGGCCAGACTGGGCAATATAGCAAGACCCTGTCTCTTAAAAAAGAAAAGAAAAAGAACACTTGGAGGATGGGACAATAGGAGGGGCTTAAATTTGGTCCTTTGGTTCCAAAGGAAGCCGTACTCACTCATCTGTCTTGAATCTTTACAAATTCCAAAGGCCACTGGGCTGCTCCATAGGCCAGAGGAGCCCCCAATTGTACTATCATTTGTCACATGGGGGTGTCCCTGAAGCAAGGGACTCTCATGAGACCTCTCAGGCCAGAGAGGGGCACCTCCCTACCTAAGATCTCATACACACAGCCAGTTAATAAAGACCAAATTTAGAAGTTTGTATGCAGGAGCTATTAAAATCACACGGAGTAAGAGTTGTTCACACCCCCAGGTGCTATCCCCGGCTTCCGCTCCACAGTACATCTAGCTGGGGGCCCAAGGCACTGAATGATGGCCGATCCTGTGGGCTAGGAGCCCAGCACAGCTTCATGAGCTCGTGAACCTGAAGGGGATGGGAAGAAAATAGAGTCGTGACGGAGCTGGCAGAAGGACCTGACTCTCATTCACAGTTTTAAAACACAAACTAGATTCCACTCCATCTTTGCTCCACAACCTCCCATGGCTCCCTATGGACCTTAGAATAAAATCAACAAAATCTCAACCCCTCCCTCCATTTCATCCCTCCAACCTCCCTTGTCATTGGTCACATGCAGTCATATAGGCTTTCATCTCACTATCATTTAAAGGCACCAAGTTGATTACTGCCTCAGGGTCTTTGCATCTACTGTGTCCTCTGCTGGGAATCACTTCGCAGCTTTACTCATAGGTGGGCTCCTCTTCCTTCTCCTTCAGGCATCACTCCTCTGAGAGGCCCTCCTCAACCACCCCATCCCACCCTTTCCCCCTACCAGAATGTTCTTATTACCTTTCTACTGGTTACTGCGAGGACAGGGTTGAATCTGTTCTCTCTGAGCTAGGTCCCTAGTGCACATAATTGGCATTCAATACTTGTTTGTGAATGGAATGAATTTATGAATGACCAGGCACATGACAGACACTTTCACGAAAGTGATGGTTATAAATCCTGAGAGTCACTACCATTTATGGGGCGCTATGTGCCTTGTTCTGAGCTGAGCAATCATAGGTATTAATTAACATGATCTTTCCCCACCCTATAAGGTACTATGATTCTCATTGTGGAAATGGGCAGACTGAGGCTCCCCTGAAAGCATTTGTGACGTGCCACACAAGGAAAGAGCAGCCAAGTCAAGGCCAGTATCGCGTTCAGCTTCACACTCTAGCCTTTACTTTCAGCTAGCTTGCCTGAGATCCCAGCCAAATCTATAGGTTGGGGAACCGAGGAGGGCCTGCAGCACTCACCTCAACAGGACAGGCAGGAGGCGCTGGCAGCCTCTGACCTTCCTCCAGTAGTTCCAGGAGGCGACAGAGGGCAGGGGCATCTCGATTACATCCCATCATCCGCAAGAACTCCTGGGGCCAACAGAAAGAAACCCTTGGGGGAGGGGTCCTCTGTGATGAAGAGAGGAGGGGTTGCCTTTGGTGAGGGTCAGCATGGTGAAGGAGGGTCGTCCCTGCGGGGACAAGATGGAGCCAGGACAGAGGGAAGGGCCTATGATAGCGGGACTAGGTGATCCCAAGCTACTGAAGAGGACGCAGTCCCGGGCAAGATGGAGTTTGGACACTAGGGGTCCCTGGACTCACAGCCGAAGGGCTGCAGCTTTTGTCGCTGTAGGTGAAGAGCTCGTACAGGACGACCCCGAAGCTCCAGACGTCTGACTGGCGGGAGAAGATGTTGTCCGAGAGGGACTCAGGGGCGTACCTGGCGAAGATAGGAAGTTCTTCAGACGCAAGGGTGGGACAAAGGACAGGAAGGAGGTAGCCTTGGAATGGGTAACTAGTCAGGGTGTACGGACGCTGTGAGAGGGTGGGTCCGGGCCCCGGAGTCTGTGAGATTAGTGGATTCTACCAATACTGTGACATGCCTGTAGAGCCACGGTTGTGGGGGGCGGGGCAAGATTTGGGGGCAGGGACAGGATGAAGCCAGGACCGAGGGAATTGGCGTGACCAGAACGCTGAGTGAAACTAGAAAGGTTTAAGGCCGGCCGAGCTGGGAAAGGGCGGGGCTGGGACCAGCCCAAGGCTGCGGAAAGGGGCGGGGCTTGTGTTCTGAGGGGGCGAGGCAAGGGCTGGAGCGGAGCCAAGACGTGAGAAAGAGCGGGTCCCCAGTGTTGGTACCCACCAGAAGATGGGGCTCTGGCCCGGCTCGCGGACCACGTAATAGTCTTTGTCGAGTGGCAGCAGTTTGGCCAGGCCAAAATCGGCGATCTTGACGTGCGCCTCGCTCTCCACTAGGATGTTCCGGGCGGCCAGGTCGCGGTGCACACAGCGGCGGGAACCCAGGTACTCCATGCCCTGCTTCCCGGGTGGGGTGAACATGCAGAGGGATCCCAAGATGATCCAACAGGTACCCCAAGTCTGACTTGTCATCTAATCCCAAGCCCCAACCCCAGCCCAGACCCCAAGCCTAACCCGGTAACAGACTCATCCTCCATTCTCTCACGCCCGCCTCACACCTTGCAGATCTGGGAGGCGTACAGAAGCAGCCGGCTGGAGTCCACGCGGGCGCGGTTCCGCTGCAAGAAGTCGCGCAGACAGCCGCTAGGCAGGTACTCCATGACCAGCCGCAGGCTCTGACGACCTGGAGGAGGCGCAAGGTGTCACCGCAGGGCCCAGTCTTGACTACGCCCTTCATTTTCCCCCACCCCATTCACAGTGGGACCTCCTGGCCCTACAGACCTCATTGTTGCTGTCTGTAAAATGGGAACGGGGACAAAGACACTTATTGTGATAACTCTTAAGCACCTTCCACAATATATTCATTTTAATATCATATGGACCCACTTTTCAGCTGGGGAAACTGAGGCTCAGAGAGGTTAAATTGTCCAGCTGCTAAGGAGTGGAGTCAGGATTTGAACCCATGGCTTGTCTGAATGTGGATAAGCAAGTATGTTCACGACAGCCCTGATGGTTCCACCCCACCCAAAATGACAATGCAGGAGGATGAGGACATGTTTCACAAAGCACCCATAGGCCTTGGTTTATCCTCTGGCAGTTGACTTACCAGGGCCATAGCTGACACCACGGTACTTGACAATAAAGTCACTGTGCAATGCTTTGAGGATCTGAATCTCCCGCTGGAAGTCCCTCTGCTGGTCTGGCCCGCTGTGCTGCAGCTGCTTCACAGCCACCAGGGCGCCTGTGTTGTCACCCAGCGGGTCATAACGGCATAGCTCCACACTGCCAAAGTTGCCCTGAGGGATGGCAGAGCTGGTGTCCACATGCCTAGGTGCTCCCCTACCCACCCAGCCCAGCCCACTTCACCTCACCTTGCCTAGCTGTGAGATGTACTTGAGGTGTCTCTCCTCAAAGATTGTGGGGTCCTGACAGGCATAGAGTTGGGCACCATTCCACAGCCCATCACGGGGTGCCAGGGCACCAGGTGTGGGGTCTGAGAGGAGCTCATAATCTGGGGGTGTACATGGGAAGTGGTGAGCAGTCCGTCTCCTGGACCCTGCTCCTGAGCTGATTTGCTGTGTAACCTCAATCTGCACACTTACCCTCTCTGTGCATTATGGCAGGACCATTGCAAGCCAAAGGGTACCTTGTGGGGATTGAAAAAAGGCACCCTCCTTGTGCAGTACACACCCTGTGCAACTCCACATGGCTATGGAGATGGAGGAACATGGTGAGATTGCATCTCCTGAGTTCTACTGCTATGAGGTGTGGTCACGTCACAGGCTGATGGGTGAGACATGCGGGTGCCTCTCCGGTTCTGACCTATGGAAACTTAGCATAGAGCCCTCCACACTCTCTCTGTCTGCAGAGGATCTAATAGGGACCCAACACCATGGGGTAGGTTGGAACCACAAAGTGAGAGGTTCTGGTGGACGTGAATACCTTCATCAAATAAGAACTAAATATCAGGCTGGGTGTAGTGGCTCACACCTGTTATCCCAGCACTTTGGGAAGCTGTGGCAGAAGAATTACTTGATGTCAGGAATACAAGGCCAGCCTGGGCAACATATCAAGACCCTGTCTCTACAAAAAAATTATAAATGAGTTGGGCATGGTGGCACATGCCAGTAGTCCCAGCTACATGGGCCATGGGCAGCTGAGGCAAGAGGATCACTTGAGCCCTGGAGTTTGAGACTACAGTGAGCTGTGATGATGCCACTGAACTCCAACCTTGGCAACAAAACAAGACCTTGTCTCTCTCTCACACACACACACAAAACTAAACCAAACTAAATACCACCATGTTGAACCTTTAAGCCAAGGGACCTGTTTGTTATAGCAACTATCAGAGCTCATGCTAACTATTACAATCGCTAACCACCCCAATCTTGCCAGACACACAGGGTGGGTTCTGCAGGCAAAACATACTCCTCCCATTGACCCCAATATGACATGGCATCCCTGCCCACCCGGCCTGGCCCAGTGGGCACCTGAAGTGATGAGGTTGTTGAGGTCACGGATGACGGCTCGGAATGAGGGCCTCTGGTCTGGCTCATAGGCCATGCACTGCTGGATCAGCAAGGCCAGCTCTGTCCACTTGGGGGCTGGCAGCTGCTGCCGTTGCTCATAAAACTGAAGTTTCTGAGAGCAGGAGGAGGGGCTGATCACCCCCAATCCACCCTCAGGAGGCTCCACAAGACCCACCCAACCTCCCCCAAACCGGACTTCATCAACCTTCTGTCAAAGCAGAGGTTCTCAAGACCAATATTAGGTGGAGTGCTCTAACCTTGGCAGGATCCAGGGTGCTGATGGGCATTGTGACCCCACTGAATACTTCCCAGACTGTGGCACCGAAGCCCCACTTGTCAGCTTCCAGGCCAAGTGTCTGGGCCTCTTGGAGACATTCAGGGGCCACCCAGGGGATCCTGTCAGTGAGCACTGAAGGAGCAGGGATGGGGTCAGGAATCCACTCCTAGGCCCTCCTAGGCCCCTCCCTCCTTCACTTCTAGTCACTTACTTTCCAGGCTTAATACAGTGGGGCTGACCCCAGGGTCACTCAGCTTGATGAAGGGAGGGCTCCCATCAGCCCCCTCCCGAGCCAGGAGCACCTTCCGGGCTGAGACATTGCCATGGGGGAGACCTTTGTCCTCCTAAGTGGGCCAGGCATAGAGAAATACCAGGGAGGGTTTGATGAATAAATATTTGTTCAGAAAACTCCTATACATCCATCTAAGCCCACCTAGTACTGCTCAAACAAACTCCAGCATCCTCCCTGGATTCCTAGCATCCTTTCTTACTTTATGCGGATCTGTATCCCCTCCCTTCTCAAATGTTATCCCCCACACCTTGGATCCCCACTGCCTTTGAGACAAAGGCAAATCTCCCCAATACAGTGCTCATGGCTCTTATTCAGTCTTCCCATAAGCTTCTCTTCTACACCTCCCCACCTTGGTCTCCTGCCAGTTGAACTGCTTGATGAGTACCCAGGTGTACAACTATCTAGCCTGCAAGCCTTTGCCCAAGCTGTTTCCTGACATGCCTTTCATCCTTTCTCCTTTTGATGAACTCCTACTCAACTGTCAAGGCTCAAACTCCAGTGGTCCCTCTTCTAGGAAGCCTTTCCACCTTCCCAGCTCTATCATTCACTACTCCTCCGGACATGCATGGATAACCAGTGGTTCCCTTCTAGTATTCTCATACCTGCCCTCCACTTGCATTCTTACCAAACTCCTAACCATGCTACAGAGTCCCTTACCAATTCCCCTTCCACCCAGAGGAAGCCTTCTTTCCCAGTGAATGGAGGGTGGAGTAGGCAAAGGAGCACGCACCAGATAGTTGAGGGCATAGGCCAGCTGTTTGATCACCTGCAGCTTCCAGCTGGCTGGCACCAGGTGGCCACGCTTGCGCAGATATGTGTCTATCGCTCCTAGACATATAAATTCCTGCACCATGGTGCCTGGTGGTTAAAGGGAATGGTAGGGTTGGGAGGTGGAATTGCACTTGTGCTCAATAGGCTTTGCCCCACTCCGCCCTTGGGAGTCTCTCAAATTCTCTAGTCTGGCTGCTCCTTTCCCTACCCCTCCATTACTCCCATCCTCACCCCTCCTCTTCCCTATCTCCCACCTCTGAATTATTTGCTTGAAATGCCTGAAAGGTGCTGAGCACTCTCTATATCTCACTTTCAAACCTTTGCATGTTTTGTGTCCTCTACCTAAAACACCCCTCTTCCTTCTCTTCCCTAATTCATACTCACTTTGGCCCTTCCAGCTCAGATGTGTCCTTGCCTACCTAGAAGCACTGCCTGAGCCCCAGACTGGACCAGCCACCTTGCTGATCACCCGTATCACCCTGTTTACACCTCATTATGGCCTGCTTGTCATATTCTACACTCCGCCCAGCACCTAGGACTTACTGGACTCCTGATAAATAACTGGTGAACTGAAATGATGAAATTAAGCTTAGAAAGGTTATATGCCCTGTGCAAAGCTGCAGAATGAGACTGGAAATCCAAGTTTGTCTGATTTGAGATAATGCTGGGGCCTGCTACTGGTAGGAACCCGTACCTACTGCCCAAGGGGTGGTAAGTGAGACATATGAGTATAGGATGATGGACTCTGAGGGACATTGGGCCCCATCCAGGCTGGGCTCGGTGTATTGTTGATGCTGCCATGTATAGGAAGAGCAGCCTGGACTTGAGAAAGGAAGGGGTGGGGTGCAGGGGGGCGGGTCTCACTGTCTCCAGCCATGCACACGCCATGGAGCAACACGAGATGCTGGTATGACACTTGGCTCATCAAGCTTGCTGCTTCCAGGAATGACTAGGGAAGGTGGGAAGGGAAAGAAGATACATAGATTCCTCTCACTCCAGGATCAGACCAAGGATCCCAAACTTGGAGCTCGCAAACCAGCCTCAGGAGGAGGCACTATCCAACATGAGTGCACACAAGGCTAAACAATACAATTTTCTTTTTTTTTTAAAGTTAATAACCCCCAAAACAAGGGGGTTTTTTTTTTTTTCCAGTTTTTGGCGAGGGCTGGGTTTGAACTCACCACCTCTGGTATATGGGGCCAGTGCCCTACTCACTGAGCCATAGGCACCACCCCCATTACAATTTTCTGATGGGGGATGGAAGTCCCACAATAGTCTACCTCAAGTCTCTCAGATATAGGTGGAAGATTTGGGGATTTGGGGATTGAGAAGGCTCAAGCCTTCCACCGTGTGGTCCAGCCTCTCTCCTCTTCTTTGCTTCCTCCTCTTCAGCCAATTGGCCTTCTAACTACTCCTTAAACCTGTCAGGCTCAGTCCTGCCTCAGGACCTTTGTACTGGCTGTTTCCTCTATCTGTTGTATTTCCTGTTTGCATCTGAATTCCTTGATCCTTTCATAGTTTATGGTTCAGTGAGGCCGTGGCTACACCTCTGTTGTTTCAAAACTCTATGTGTTATAAATTTCTCTGAATCCACAGGCTATCTCCAGCCAGTCCTGACCCAAAATGTCTCGTCTCCAACCCGCTCACCTCCATGCAGTTCTTGTGCTTGACATCCATAACCTTCAGCAGCACCTCTGTTTCTCGGGCCTCTCCATCTACAGCCTCATGGCGGCAACCCCGGTAAATCTTGGTGAAGGAACCATGGCCCAAATTCTCATGCTGGCGGGTGAGAAGACATTAAGAGATGCCAGTGAGGAAGTTCCTTTAGTATCCTAGCCCCTGTCCCTGGCCCAAGGAAGACATAGGTGCTAGCTCCATTTTACAGATGTGAAGACAGAGGCCAAGGAGGATTGTACCATATGCCTGAGGCTACACACCAGAGGTGGATATAGATCTAAGTCTCTGGACCCCAGTCTGAGGTACTCCCATTTCTTGGGGCCCCTTACCCACTCCAAGCTGTCGGCAGGGATCTTGTGAAATGTCATCTGACTCAGCTGGTATTGGGATTGGGGATAAACAAGGGATGATGTGGGTGAACTGCAACCCCTCCGGACCACAATCAGGTTGGACTTTTCTATGGGGAGAGGAGTGGGAAGAGAAACCAGAGGTCAGAGATGAAAAGTCCCCAAGGGTTAGTTCACTCCTTGCCTTAGTTTGGAGTGCCCCCAGGAGCAGACCCTGAAGTGAGGACTCCAAGGCTTGTAGTTTATTTGAAAGGAGACACCAGGAAGCCCCCACATAGGTATTGAGGACATAAAACAGAAAGGGAAGGATCCCTGCAGGGAGCCCCAATAAGCAGATGGCACTGTGGGCAACCAGGAGCTCAGTCCTGAGGGGGATTCTGGGAAATTCTGCAGAACTCACATGCAGAATTATCTTGTTGATGGGGTTTGTCTAAGAATGAAATTGACCCAGAAGAAGTGAGCGATGGAAAGAAACTAAACTCTAGTGACATGACTCAGAGCCAGCTGTTTCTGGATCTAATCGCACCTTAAGTTTACACTCTAACCCAAGCCAATAGATCACCTTTTCTTTCCTAAACCACATGGATCTGCAGTTTCTTCCACTTGACACAGGAATTGTCACAGACATGAAAAGTCAATTGCTCAGCTCAGGAGAGAGGGTGGGCTTACCTTTAGGTCTAGGGGTACAGCAGGAGGTGAGGGTCAGTGCAAGCCCATCTACGTGCAGCCCACCATCCCAGCAGGCTGCTAGGAGCTCTCTAAGACTACTGTAGGGTCGGCCAAGGTCAACCAGGGAGAAGGTTCCTGAGGAGTCTCGCCGGATGAGGCAGCCCTTGTAGTCAGGGCCAAGAGGGGTCTGCAAAGTGGAATGATTCCTGAGTGGGAGTGCTTCCCTTTCTTTCTAAAGCACCACAAGATCATTCCAATCTCCAGGCCTTTGCATTAGCTGTTCCCTTTAATGGGAATATCTTTCCCCTCATGTTCTTCAGGGACCAAATGCTGACACATTATTCAGGTCTCAACTCAAATATCACCTCCTCCAGAAAGCTCTCTTCTACCCTAGCAATGCACTGACCTGGACACAGACAGTGAGGAGGAAGCTGTTGAATTCTTGTGGGCTGCGACGGAGAACGTAGGAGCCAGGACGTGCACCTGCAGTCTTAAGCTTGTGGATGGCAAAATCCAGACTATGGAAAAAGAGGGGAGGGAACAGAGAAGAGAGTGAAAGAAGGGAAGAGAGAGAAAAAGAAAGAGAGAGAGAGTGTGCTGGTTTAAATTCTGGTCCCTCTGGAGCCTTAAGGTCTTTACCAGCTAACACCCCTCTCCCCACTATTTATAAAATCAGTCAAAAGTTTTGGCCTCTCTTTGATTAAATAAGAGGCTATAGGTGATGCTGGGCGGCTCATCCACCTCCAGGGAATAGCCCTGGGACCCCAGGGGCCAGAGGGAAAAGAGTGGCTGCCCTGGGCAGCAGGGGGAGAACTAGCCTCACTGAGCACTGATTATGCCCCAGGCGCCGGTTGAGCACTTGACCCCTGTCCAGGTGTCCTGAAAAGTGAGGACACTGAGACTTCCAGAGGACAGTGATCTCTGCGTGGTCGCGAGGGACAGGCATGAGGTAGGGGGGAATATACTTACGTGATGGGGCCGTGGCATTGCTCAGCCACCTCCTCCAACAGTCGTGGCGGTGCAACCTCCTTGCAGAAAAAGTGCCGGGAGTCAGTAGTCAACCGAAAGTAGCCGTCCACGAGTGCCACGAAGGACAGCGCCTCAGGTAGCCCGGGAAACTCGGCCTCCTGTAAGGCAAAGACCAATTTTAGCATCCAGTTCAACCCGAGGGCGCCTGTCCAGAGTCCCCGACCTCGGGGGCAGGCGGGAGGGGATGGGGTCCTACACCCACCAGAATCTGATTGTCTGTCCTAGTGACAGTGACTAGGCGGTGCTCCCCAGCTGGACCAACGCGTGGAGCTTGCTTGATGCTAATGTCTATGATTTCTGGAAAGTCGCAGAAAGGCTGGAAGACCTAGGAAAGAGAACAGTTGAGGCAGAGGGTCAAGAGCCATCCCACCAACCCACGCCTATAAACCCCACGCCTCTCAGCCACACTCATCCGCATCCCTATTACTCTCCCTTGCCAAACCCCGCCCCTCCATGATCCCCACCCTCCCTCCCACGCCCTCCTTCTAAGCCCCGCCCATTTAAGTCCATCCCCCTAGCTCAGCTGGCTTCTCCTGAACCCCCCAATTCTCCCATTCTCCGCCCTCCTTAAGCCCCGCCCATTTAAGTCCATCCCCCTAGCTCAGCCGGCCCTCCTTAAGCCCCGCCCGTTTCCCCATCCCTCAATTGTTCCCTCCCCTAGACTCCACCCCCCTACACTCCCCACCCCAGCGCCGGCCAGTACCTGGTCTTCTCCCTGGCTCCACGCGATGCCACTGTCACCAGCCACGCGGAGCAGTCCCAGACCATCCTGGCCACCAGAGGCCCCGGGGAGGCCCACGTGGAAGGTCTCGGCGGCCCCGGCTGGATGCAGCCGGTCCAAGTCCATGATGTACTTGGCCATGAGTGAGTGCCGGTCAGCCTGGCAGGCTGCCACGCGACGCAGGGCCCTGCTCACAGTCCTCCGAATGCGCCGCCGCGTCACGAAGCTCAGGCCCTGGATCATTTCGCGCAGGGCTGGGGGCAGGCAAGTCTTGTAGCTGCAGGGTTGGGGAGAGAAGGAGCTGGCTCTCAGCGCAAAGCCAGGTTTTAGCCGAGGGGCTGGAATGAGATCTCAGTAGGGCCACGAGGAACATACGGACTCTCATTCAGGGGCACGCGTGGGAACAGAACCTCAGTATGAGGGAAGGCCGTTGGCACCCATAGGTCGAAGAGGGACACCACAGAATTTTCAGGGGCAGGAGGTGGGACCTCTTTACTGCTGGAGCTTCCATGGGGGGCTGGCTGCATGGAAGGTCCTGGGTCACCTGCACTCACTGCAGGCTCGCTTGCTTGTAGGGGAGTCCCATGGCTGGGGGAAATGGCTGGGCCCTGTCAAAGCCCAAGGGAGCCCATATTTGCTCATTCCCAGGCAGAAGTCGGACCTCACAGCCCAAAGGTCTTCACCTGATGGTCTTCAGCAGTTCTGCAGGGCGCTTGGCCTGTTCATGAACCATCCGGGCAAGGTCCAGTACCGCCAGGCTGAGACATTCGCCCTGCTCCTTGAGGCTTAGGCCCACGGGGAGATGCCCATTCACCAAGTCACTGCGGTGCTGGGGATTGGCCACAGGAAGCATTAGCCAAGGCCACCCAACCATCAGCCCTGATGCTGTACAGATCCTTCCCCCTTGGTGGAGACCCACAGAGACTCCCACCTGGGCGAAGAGGTGCTCCAGGACTGGCAGGTCAAGAATGGCACTGGCCAAATCCTTGCGTAGTCCAAAGCGATGGCACTTCTCCAGTCCAAACCAGTTGGGGAAGTAAAAGCTATGAGAAAGGAGAGAACCCTGGAGTGAAGGGGCAACCCAGCCCCAGCAGGAGTGAGAGGATGTGTTGAGAGGAGACTCTGCTGAAGACTTAGCCCAGCTTGTGCCATTAATTTGCTGTGTGATCTATGGCCAGAGACCCACCCTGTCTGCTCTCAGTCTCTTCATTTGTGAATGGGCAGTGATTATACCCTCTCTGGGAGGGGGGCACCTCAAGATGCAAGGAGATGATAAAATCGTACAATCGCTGGAGGTTAGGGGCACTTCCTACCGGAGCCTGTAGACCAGGACTTGGGTGCCTGCATCCTCCACAGAGAAGATGTGGCTTGGAGGGAACCAGCAAGACAGGTCCTCTGTGGCCAGGGCAAAGAGGGAGTGGTACACAGGCAGGATACCTACAAGGGACAGTTCCATCAGCTCCCTCCTGAGTATCCCCCACATGGCTGCCAGGGTCACCCCTATGCAGCCTCACCTTCAGCTCTGATAGTGTCCTACCCCTGCTCACACACACTCTGGAGCTCTGCATTGCCCTCAGGAGAGAAGCCATCATATGCTTTATCTCTAAGAGATGACTAGCTATTCCACTTATGTGCCATCACATTTCTGAGTCTTTGCACAGACCATTTCCTCTGCCTCAACTGCCCACCCTATGCACTCTTCTCTATTGCCAAACTCCTACTCATCCCCTAAAGTCCCAGCTCCAAAGTTGATTCCTGCAGGCAACTGTTTCAGCTCTCAATATGGGCCCTCTACAGCCCTATACGTCTCTCTGGCCCACTCCTCCAAAGACACACTCACCACTGGCCTTGGCAGCCTGCACGCACAGCTCCTCAGCCAAGTGGTCTCCAAAGGAGAAAGATAAGCCCTGGGGTGGTCCAGGGCCCCGAGCAGGCAGCCGCACATGTAGGGCACCTGCTTCTGAGGATGAGAGGCTGCAGGAGCGCTGAGGAATCAGGGGTGTCTCCTCACTTGGAGGTGCCATGAGTGCAACCTGCCTGGGGCACAGAGAGAGACATTCCCTCAGTCCCAGCCAGAGGGGCTAGAACATCTGGGGTGGAGGAGAGTGCTGGAGAAAGAGGAAGGGAGGCAGGAACAGAGACACTTTCCAAGATGGACAAAAACAGAATCAGGAGAGGGAGCTGAGTGTGCAAGGTGAGTGGGGAGCTGTGTTGGGGACTGGAGAATATTCCGTACCTGGATTTATGTGAACTAACACCAACTATCTTTGTTGTGACCAAGGCAGATATCTCCAGTCAACTTGCAGCCTCTATCAGTGATTTTCAACTGGTGTGCTGTGAGAGGATCTTAGGTGTGCTGCAAAATTTTTAAAGATCATCAGTTAAATTATTTTCAAAAGAAGTTAAAAGCATAGTAAGTATATTATTTTCTTTATTCATTTTTTTTTTTGTGATCAACATAATTTAAGTGTGCTGTGGAAAGTTAACTATAGGTTCAAGTGTGCCATGAGATAAAAAAAGGTTGAAAAACACTGCTCTGTATCTCCCCCCAACTAGCCTAGTGGGTGCCCCAGTCAGGCATGAGCAATTGATCACAGATACACAGATCTGCCTGACCAGGAGGCAGAATGGATGCTGACAGTACCTATTGGGATTTAGGATAGCAATGGTTTAATATCATTGGTTAAATAGTATGATTTAACTATTTAACATTGGTTAAATAGTATGATTTAGTCATACTCTGTGGTCTTGGGAGCCTGAAGCCCATCTGAAACTGGGGCTGGAAGTTCTGCACCTAATGTGATGCATGCCCTGTGGGGGGGTTCAGTCTGAAGACTAAGCTAACAACAATCTAGTTCTCTCTGTCCCCTCCTTTACTCCTCTATTCAGCCCTGCCCCAAACAGCATCTTCCTTAGGCCCCTCTAGGGCCCTCACAGCAGGAAACTTACCCATGGTATGAGCCCAAGAGGAAACCACTCCCCTGCTTCCCACCCCCCAACTGTGCCTCCCAACCTGAAGCTCTTTCACCATGGGGGGACTTAGAGCTCAGGAGCCCTCCGCTGGATGAGGCAAGGGGTGGGGTTTCAAGCTCAGTGGAAAAGAAGATCTCAGTGGATCTTCTAAATGAAGATCCAAAGAGAATGTTGGGGCGGCGCCTATGGCTCAGTGAGTAGGGCACCCGCCCCATATACCAAGGCTGGTTCGAACCCTGCCCCAGCCAAACTGCAACAAAAAAATAGCCAGGCGTTGTGGTGGGTGCCTATAGTCCCAGCTACTCGGGAGACTGAGGCAAGAGAATTGCCTAAGCCCAAGAGCTGGAGGTTGCTGTAAGCTGTGACACCACAGCACTCTACCGAGGGTGACAAAGTGAGACTCTGTCTCAAAAAAAAAAAAAAAAATTAGCCAGGCATAATGGTGCATGCCTGTAGTCACAGCTACTTGGGAGGCTGAGTGGGAGGGATTGTTTGAGGCCAGGAATTGGAGGCTTCAATGAGCTATGATTGCAACACTGCACTCCAGCCTAGGAAACACGCTATCTCTTAAAAAAGAAAGAAAGGAAGAGAGGGAGGGAGGAAGGGAAGAAAAGAGGGATGGAGGGAGAGGAGAGGAAGAGAAGAGAAAAGAAGAGAAGAGAAAAAGGAAAAACAAAAAAAGAGAAAATCTGTTCCAAAATAATACCCGCAGTGTGGGGTAGGGGACAGCATTAATGAGGCTTTAACACACCTAGAATATAATCCTCCTGCAGGGGGTGAGTGTAGAGCCCAAGCTCTGGATTTAAATCTCAGCCCCATCATAGTTGGGCCATTTGGCCTCAGTGACAAGAATCCCTATGACTCAGCTTTCCCAGTTGTTGAAATGGGCTCATTCCTCACTAATTTCAGTGAGGTGGTTTGCTGAGTCCAGCCCAGCCCAAGCCCATGTTTAATCTGTATAGCTGGTATAATCTTTGTCATGTGCCCAGTGAGTGCTTCACAAATGACTGTTAAGCAAGACAGGAAGGTCACTTGGCACGGTGGTGTAGTGATTACCATAGGAAGGGAAGTCATGCAGAAGATAATATTTCCAAGAGTCTCCAGTGCCCAGACCAAGAATTGGAATATTTCCAGCCTCCAGGAACACTGGGGGACCCCAATCACACACCACAGAGGTGACCCCCTCTTGTGATTCTAACACCAAGCTGAGGTTGCCTGGTTTTGTCTTTTCTATAAACGAAATCACACATCCTGTCCTCTTATTTTTCCCAGTAGCATTCTAGCTCACTGTAGCCTCCAACTCCTGGGATCAAGTGATTCTCCCACCTCAGCCTCCCAGGTAGCTGAGACTACAGGTGCCGGCCACGATGCTCAGCTAATTTCTTAATTTTTTTTAAAATAGAGATGGAAGGGTCTCACTATGTTGCCCAAGCTGGTCTCGAACTCCTGATCTCAAGTTATCCTCCCACATTGGCCTCCCAAAGTGTTGGGATTCCAGGCAGGAGCCACTGCATCTGGCCGTAAAATAAATCTTCAAGAAACACGATTCTTTAAATATTGGAAGTAAAAAAGGCAAAAGTCAGAGGTGGTATTGGGGCCCAGAAAATGCCCCTTAAATTTTTTTTTCCCTCTAAGCCTTAGTTTGTCTAAAGGCGCCGGATTTAACATCTTAAGTCCTCTATCCCGGGTGCTTTGAGCATTCTGTCTTTCAGCCCCAGAGACTAGGAAGGTTGGACCTGGGAACTTTCTCACCCGGATCTCCTGCAGCCACTTTCCTTGCGCATGCGCAATGACTTTCAGTGGCAGTGGTCTGGGAATTTTGGGTCTCGTTTTATGCTTCAGGTAGCTAAGACTCCGATAGAGTAGCATTCACCGGAGATGAGTCCCAGTTCTTATCTCCCTTGCAGCTTTCCTCGTTGGGATGGAAGGCGAACTCGCCTTTGCCATTGTAGTACCCGCCACCAGCTCTGCCATCCCTGCCTGCCCACTAGTGTCCACCCCCAGTGCCTGGCCAGAGCTATGTGGCACCGCCAGCTCTTACCTGGCAGGTGGGGACCCTGGGCCGATGACAGGAAGGCAGAGCAGGGAGGCAGCAAGAGGAAAGTCCCACTCTGCTCCTTCCTGTGTGGGCCCCTTGGTTTCCTGAACCACTGTCATTTACCGAAAGTCAGGGCCCTGTGGGAGATGGGGGCGGGGAGAACTAAGGGCTCGGCCAGGGAGGGGCAGGAAGTTCTGGAAGCCCCTGCAGCAGCGGCCCTGCTCAGACAGGATTCTGGAGACTCAAAACCCAAGTGGTAGGGCCGAATGTAGGGACCACGGAGAAGATAGCACGAAGGAGGACCCAGGTCACATGGAGTTATCAGGGCCCAGCCCCCTGTTGCCTCACTTTACCCATCTGCAGCATGTGTGGTTTGGGCACCCAGTGAAACTAATTTCATACGCAGAGGATGGAACAGACCTAGATTTGCGACCCAAGGAGGCAGGGAAAGTAGACAAAGTGAGTTTTTTTCTCCTGTATACTTGGGAAGATATAATGACCCACTTTTTGTGTGTGGTGCCCTGGGCCCAGCCTTAGTAAACCAAATGACCCAGCTAGCTCAGGAGACAATTAACAAAAGAACAATCCAAATCATCATGGGTAACAAAGAAAGCCAGGGTGATGGAACAGGCACAAAGGAAGGTCAGACCTGGAGCAGGACAAAGAGCTGGCTCAGAGAGAGCCAAGTGGACGGATGGAGTGAGCTCAGCAGTTTGAAGAGCAGCTAGGAGGCCATGTACAAGGATTAGATGAGCAGGAAGGGAATGGGAAGGCAGTCAGCAGGGGGCCAGATCATGGAGGTACCTCTGAGTCCTTGGGAGGAGGGTGGATTTTGTCTTAAGAGTAACCTGAAGCTATAGAAGATTTTGAAGCAGGGGCTGCTAGGATATGATTTAACATTGAGGCCATAATGGGGCAGAGAGGCTGTCAGGAACAGAACAGACAAAATGTTGGGCAACACGCAGGTGAGATGAGACCTGGGACAGCATTCTTAGTAGGATCCAAAACCCAGGAAGGAGAGTTTCAGTCATAGATTAAAGATGCCTTCTCCAGCTGGGCATGGTAGCTAAAGCCTATAATCCCAGCACTTTGGGAGGCCAAGGCAAAAGGATCTCTTGAATTCAGGAGTTCAACAGCAGCCTAGGGAACACTGTGAGACCCCATATCTACAAAAAATAAGAACGATTATCCAGGCAAGGTCCCACCTACTTGGGAGGCTGAGGTGGGAGGATTGCTTGAGCTCAGGATTTTGAGGGTGCACTGAGATGTTACCTCAATACTGTACTCCCTGGGTGATAGAGTGAGACCCCCATCTCAAAAAAAAATTTTTTTTTCATCTCTATAATCTCATCACAAGCCCTGACACAAAAGTGGCTTTCGTTATTTTGTTGACTATAATGGTTCAGTCACACACAGATTCTTACTGGGCACCAAATGTGTGCAGGGCAGTGGGGACAAGGCAGACCTAGTCCCTGCCCAGGGCTGCTGACAGTGCAATACAGGAGAGGCAATAAATAAACTATTACCCAATAGTTATTTCAGTTGCTCCTGGGGCCAGGTTGCTCAGAGAGATGACTGGGTCTGGGAAGGCTTCCTGGAGGAGGTGACTGAAATCCAAGCACAAGTGAGAATAGCCAGAAAGTGTCCTAAGAAGATGAGGATGTGAGGAGTTCTGGCAGAGGGAAGAGCCCAGGCAAAGACTGGATGACCTCACAGTGTTCCCAAGAAGGATGAGGTGGCAGGGACCCAGTGGACTAGACTGATTTGGAGGCATGGGTAAGGCTTCAGAGGTTGAGAGAAAAGTGTATAGATTGTCTTCTGCTCAGTAGAGCTACAGCAGACTTGTGGCAGAAAGTGCTGGGTTGGAGCTTAGCTATAGTATTTTTCTTTCACTTCCTGGGTGGCTTCTGCAGAGAGGAATACAAATGTATGTTCCTGCTCCTGGCCCTGAGATTAAGGCTTCTGCCCTCCCAGAACTAGGTTACTAACAACTCCAGTATGATGGCTTCTACAATACTTTGAGAATGAGCAAGACAAGAATGGGGTGAGGACAAGGGTGGTACCAGAGAAAGGTAAAGGCTTTTCACCATCAAGTATAATATTACCTGTAATTTTTTTTGTTTGTTTTGAGACAGAGCCTCAAGCTGTCATCCTGGGTCGAGTGCGGTAAAGGTAAAGACTTCATAAGGAAGTTCTGGAGGCAGAACTCAGAATCTGCCCAGAAAACATTGAGACCTTCAGTGGTGCAAACATTCAATTTGTTCTGCTGGCAAAAAGCCAATAAACACAGTCAAAGAATGAACCAGTGAAACTGGAAATAAAGTTGAAT